GTATTAAATGGGGATTAGAAGTCACTTGATTGTAAAATTTTACTATGTAAATTCGAATTTTACTATGATGCAGATCAACTCCTGCGTGACATATCCTGTGAATGATATTACACAAACGCGCGTGTATATTTTTTTTTTTTTAGTGCGTGTAAAAAATCCATTTATCAAGTAAAAATGGTATTAAAAACTAAGAAGCTTCACAATAACACAAAAGAGACTACTAATGATCACGATTTAGAAAATCTGAATGATGATCTGGATAGAAAACAAAGAAAAGTATTTCATATGGCATTGAAGTATTTTGAAAGCAACAGAGATTTCTCTCTACTCTCATTTGTCAAATACATAATGAAAAAAATAAGACTACTTATAGTGAAAAGCTTACAAGGAAAGTATACTCAAGGTGTCTCGGATACTAACTTAAAAAAAACAAATTGAATGTCAACAGTTATTTAAAACTACAACATGATGCACAAGTAAGTTTTACCTTTTTTTTTTTTTAACATTAATTTAAGGTGAGAAATGATTAGATATAAATACCAAGCACGTTCGGTCCGTTTTACAAACCCATAAGTGCTAACCAACTGTAAACCGAGATGTCTAGCATGTCAATTTGTTATGGTAAACCATTTGTACACAGATGCTAACTGTGTCTAACATGTTCAGTATCTCAACCTGGTTACAGAAAGTGCTACTGCAACTGAAATATTAATATCTAACATGTTTAGTATTTTGACTTTGTTACGGGAGATGACTGCTGTAGCAGAGATGCCTGACATGTTTGAATGCATATGGTCCATAACATGATAATTAACATGTTCAGTATCTCAACTTGGTTATCTTAACTTGGTTACAGGAGGTGAACCACTTATGTCAAGTGCAGCTAAATTGTAACAAATCTGATATCAAATAATAAATTAAATTTTTTAATATTATATCATGATTAGAGAGAGTATCTAATATTTATTTATTCATATTTTTATGCAGCTACAGGAATTAGATTGTTTCCCAAAGAATCATACAAAAATCAATAAAATTGACATTGACCTCATGAAATTAAAGGTATACCAAATTTTACTAGAAATAGGACAGATTATTTAAATTACTTGTTGTCCACTATTTTACTCATCTTTTATATTCCAGTGGTTTCTTCATCCTTTTAAAGAAAACCATATATATTATCTTCATAAGTTGCTTATTAAATGAAAGGCAATGAATTTTTCTTTTGAAGTGGGTGATAAAAATTTTTTCTGTGTACCACTTATAATGATTTGCAATGTCCTACAACTGATAAGGTGGTTGTAATTTGAGCTGCTGGCATTTTATTGTGTAGATAAAATAAATAAAATTCACAAATACTTTCACTTATTGACAAGTTATTGGAAGGTGCAATGTGCAATCCACAAAGTGTTCCAAAAAGTCAATTTAACTGAATTTTCAAAAATGATGAAATAAAGGTAATATTTCACAAAACCAAAACTGTCCACCCTTGAAATTCACAAAATTTTACCATTTTATATATATAACAAAATAACATTTTTGCTTTGTAAAATTTTTGTTCCTTGAGGTGAAAGAGAAGTAGTGGTCATGATTTTTTTTCAATAAAAGAAGAGTCCAATATTTAAATAAAATAAAGCCTTTTGGTTTTTCTTTATTGTAATTAGGAAAGATCTTTTATTAAAGCTTTAAAAAAAAATTTTTTTTTATTGAAAATATGTGTATCTTCTAAAATATGTTTTTACCAGTTTTATGGTGTTCTACATTTCTTTTTAACAATATTTTTACTATATTATGACCTGATCCTCATATATCTTGGAAAAGAAAAAAAATATAAATAATTTTTTATATCAAATAAATATCTTGGAGATAATATAAATTTGGGGTTTTTTTTGGAGTCACATTTGTACAATCATTTTTTTGATTACAGGGCATTTTATTTTCAATTTTTTAAAATTTATTAGTAAAACATATGAAATTGATATAGTGGACAGTTTTAGAACAATGAAATCATACTATGTAACATTCTTGTTGAACCCCATACCCCTAGGCCATACAAAATTTCAAAATTTTCAATTCTTCCAATTTGTTCATTTTTAATAGTGTTCCATGTCACAACCCAAAAAAGGAAACAAAATGGTTGTAAAGGTGGTAGCAACCATCATCAAAACTTGCAGCCAGTATCCTTAATTTTTAATATGGGCATACTGCAACAAAACCAGACAAAGTGAACATTTGTATTACCAAGAGTTACAGGGATAAAAATTTAGTTATTATCATCACAGTTAGTTTTATAATGTCCCATTTGTTAAGTGATATATAGAACTATCCACAACATGATGATTAACATGTTTAGTATCTCAACTTGGTTACAGAAGGTGAACCACTTATGTCAAGTGCAGATAAATTATAACAAATCTGATATCAAATAATAAATTAAATTTTTTAATATTATATCATGATTAGAGAGAGTATCTAATATTTATTTATTCATATTTTTATGCAGCTACAGGAATTAGATTGTTTCCCAAAGAATCATACAAAAATCAATAAAATTGACATTGACCTCATGAAATTAAAGGTATACCAAATTTTACTAGAAATAGGACAGATTATTTAAATTACTTGTTGTCCACTATTTTACTCATCTTTTATATTCCAGTGGTTTCTTCATCCTTTTAAAGAAAACCATATATATTATCTTCATAAGTTGCTTATTAAATGAAAGGCAATGAATTTTTCTTTTGAAGTGGGTGATAAAAATTTTTTCTGTGTACCACTTATAATGATTTGCAATGTCCTACAACTGATAAGGTGGTTGTAATTTGAGCTGCTGGCATTTTATTGTGTAGATAAAATAAATAAAATTCACAAATACTTTCACTTATTGACAAGTTATTGGAAGGTGCAATGTGCAATCCACAAAGTGTTCCAAAAAGTCAATTTAACTGAATTTTCAAAAATGATGAAATAAAGGTACAAGTTTTTTTATATATATAAATTATATTAATATATATCTATACATTCTAAAAGATTTACAATAATATTATTATTGGCAACTTACAGAATAACAACATACAAGTTTTTCTACTTTATCAGACTTTCTCCCATCCAATTTACCTGATTCTTTTTTATTATAGGAAATGTGACAAGTCACATGGGCTAAATCTGGATGAGATGGTATAGTTACTCTATTTCCCTTCAAAAATTCAGTTACAATTTTTGTCTAGTATGATAACATATTTCCATATCATCAGGAAAATTTTTGGGATGCAATTTTATGCAAATTTAACAAGTGTAAATTTTACATAAACTAGTTAGTAATTCTGTTGATAAATTAATGATCAAAATTAAAAATTCAACTTTTATTTGTGATAAGCTTTGTACTTTCTGTAATACAAAAGAAATGATCCCATTTTGTACAAGAAAGCTTGCTGGAATTCAACTTATTATATGCTAAAATGTTTGAAAGAATTTCAACCAGTAGCATTAGCTTTACTTGCTGCTGATAATAGCAAAATCAGGATCTTTTCCAATTTCAATTTGATAAAAAAATATTAACAGTACAGTTAATAGTTTATAATTTGTAATGTTCTATAGAATACTCTTCTGCTTTTTTGAACCTTTAGAAAAAGCTACAGAAGACCTTTCAGCATCATCCTATCCAATAATGACGATACTTGTTTTATTTTTGAGTGCATTAAATTGCATCTAGTAGAACAAATGGAAAAAGATGAGTTTACACAACATGAAGTAGCAGCTTCAATATCTCAAAAAATTAGTGAATATTGGGAAATAATGGATCGTTTTTCCATTGTTTCGACAACTTTGAATCCTCAAACAAAGCTTTCTATTTTTACAAAGAAAAAAGACAAAATGTTTGTGAATATGTTAACCATTTTTGAAACTTACTGGGAAATTTCTTCAGATACTTAAGAATATCAATCAACATCTACTAATCAACAATATTTTATACAACTTCTACAAGATGTCATTCTATAAGTTTCAACATCTGTAATCACAGCACATATAGCATCAGAATTAGACCGGTATCTTACATTACAAGTGGATGATGAGATAAATCCTCTCTTATGGTGACAGGCACATGTCAAAGAGTATCCAACTGTAAGTGATATGGTAAGAGATTATCTTACAATCCAAACAACCAGCATTCTCAGTTGCTGGAAATACAATTAGTAAAACACAGGATCATTTGTTGCCAGAGACTGTAAGAGCATGTCTATGTATGAAAAGTTGTACAGTGCAGATCATCTATACTCAAAAGTTAAAATTTTTGAAATATTATGTGATCCACACATTG